AAAAGGTATAAATCCATCTCTTCTCTCCCAAGTTAAGGGTTAAATAGCAGATCTTAATTTGATTTCTAGCCTTGCTTAGCAATCTCTTTCTGAATAAAAAAAACTATTAAATCAAATCAGGATGGGTGTCAAGCTGACATCTTCATCTTGTAAAAGTGTCCTTGATACAGAAACCACAGAAGCATGACACAGCGTGTTGCAGCTCTCTGTTGTCCTCATTTTTCTAGGTCCTTCGAAATTAATGCGGGTGTACGCCAGGCTTAGGAAATATTCGGTTTATTATCTTCATCAAAGACCATTTCTAAATTATCAATTCCCAGTTCGGTATTAATTTTGACGACACGATTATTTACTCCTGTTTTAACAGTAGCTACAATATGTACGATGAATAAAAACTGGAAAATGTTCTCGAAAAAAGACTTATATCTGTTGTTAGCCGGATAAATAAATGACTTTTAAAATTTCAACACTACCCAAACGTAATTGCGTTTAGTCATTTAGAGACATCGTTCGCTTTCCTTCGGTATGGCTGATGCTAAACCTCATTAGGCCATTTCGGTTTCAGGTTTTCTACCGACAAATGTAGTGTGTTTATATTGAATCAACTGCTAGATCTGGCATTAGTAAAGTTGATTTACTGTACTGTGCTAGACATTTTTCCCGCCAGAATCTATCTTGAATCTCCCATTCATCTGACAATTGAATATTGTTGTCACGTCGATTCCGATGCTCCTGTTATATATTAAGAGATTCTTAATAAAAAAAAAAAAACAAAAAAACAAGGTTATGTAGTTTTATCGACCTAAACCTGCCACCTTGGCTTCAGTCATTTTCCCATCGCGCTGAGGTGGATTCCTTCTGTCTTGGCTACACGTATTTTCAAGGCACTTGTTTTAATCAGCTTTCCATCTGCGCCCTGACTGTATGAATTTAGACGTAGCACTAGATTGGCAAATATGTCTCATCTTTTTACTGTTGAAATGACTAGAGTAACCGTAAGTTCTATGTGGATGATTTCTTCTACTGCAATTCTCTTGTGAAAATATTTTCCGGGTTCTTTCTTTTCTGTTACCTATGAGCTTCAATGGTTTAAACGCAACATCAGTCGGCATCTTTTATTTTCCTGAATACTATTCGTTTATTGTCGTTTCTCCTCAATAATGTTTTCTTCTTTTCTTTCCTTCACAGTAAACCCTTGCGTCTCGGTGGCATTATCGCCTTGCTTGGGGAGAAACGGTTAAAACATTGTAAGAAGAAGGATTCTTAATAGAAAAATGTGTTTTTGATTAGTATGTTAATTTTAGCAAGATTGAGCATTGATATTTATTAACCTTGATAAACATTATATCTTAATAAGCACGTCTAAATAGGAAGAAAAAGATGTTTGTTTTAGGTTAGGATTGAACAGTGGTCTCTAGTGTTGCTAAAAACTAGACGAAATTTTACCATAAGTTAAGCATATAATATTACGCATTTAAGATATGGGCGAGTACAGTGTAAGGTAACTTGCTATTGGCTTCCTGAGCATATATATAGTGTGCGATGGATAAAATGTCGTCTAAATTACGCAAAAAATGAAGATAACAATGATATCTCATTTTAACAGATATATTTACCAAAATTACGCATATTATCTTGAAATAGTAAAGAGCAGATTTATTTAATAAAATCTCCATTGGCTTCAACCACACCCCTTCAGATGTCTTCGAAATCTCCTGCATCTCTTCTGGACGGTCTCCTTCTTTAAGTTGTGTTAAGACCCTGTGGGAAGATGAATGTAAGTATAAAGTCGCCATCACTAGCGATTACTCGAAAGATCATGATGTTAACTGGATATATCATTCAACTCTTTCCAAATCCTCTGCACTGTCCTTAGATTGACACTCAAACACTATGAAATGTTCGTATCGGAGCTTCTGGTGCGAATCTCAAGCAGTACAGCATGCAATTTCCAAAATTCTGGTAGAGTGAATTGCGTGATAGTGCTGTTTTTTCTCACAGAGAGTTCCGAACTGACCCTACGATACTGTGCAGTCAGCAAAATAAAAAAGAAACAACGCGCATGCGCAAAATTAAAAAAAAGTACAATGGTGTCAATTTACATATCACACTCTGTATCTGACGTCTTATTCTTTCATATATATAAACCTCATTTATAGCGTACTAGCTTAATGTCCGTTCTACTCACAGAAGAATACGTTGTCATAGAAGTTCACTTAACTGTCAAATTTTTGTATAAACAATATTTTCAACAAAACATCTATTTTTTAAAGGTCTTTTTGTCATTATGCTAACTGAACTTGAATTTTCTATTTTAGACATTGCTACATTTATATGTGACCAACAGACAACTTATCAGACCATTTAATACCTTAGACAAGAAAAAAAAAACTTAACAAGGAATGAAAAAGGAGGACCAAAAGTGAAAAGCCCGCAGATACAGTAAATTAAAGTGCTCAACGGCTAGACTAACTCGACAGAGCAAAAAAAAAATCGCTTCACAACATCAACGAATGACAGCTCGAGTTGCAACTAAATTTTCACGCTCTCCTGACTTTCAGAGAACCAGTAAGCTTATATATATATGTGTGTCACACATTATGAAATGGACAAAGTCCGACAATTATTTTAAATACAGTAAATTCGACCTTGCTTACCGAACACGTGGTCAAATCGAAAAAGGCACGTCAAGCCAAATAACGGTTCCGTATAGGATACAGGTTTGAAACCTGTCGGAGGACGAATATTTTCTATGAAAATTTCTCTGATATTCAGGCCGTTAAATGTTGTTTAATACTGTTTATTATAAACAGAGCATTTATTTAAATATTTGTATCTATAAAAAGAATGTTAAGCATAAAAATGTCTTAAAATATATGTGTGTGTATACTTATATATGCATTTATATATATATGAGAATTTTAGAAAGGATCTTTTATTAATCCGGCATATTTTTATCATCTTAAACTTTATTTGTAGTGTATACTCGTATTTCACAGTAGGAGTTCCTATTATTTATTAAACACTATATTAATTTATTTCTTCTACCGGCTTGAATTTTCAAGAAAAACTTATTAAAAAAAAAATTTGTACTCTCCGACATGATTTGAACATGCATATATCAGGACAGAGAAGAAATATTTAAGTACTGCAGACCTTGGTTACAAAAAGCAGTGGGTGTGGAGAGGTCAAATTTAATGCTATCAAGCAAAGTTCTTCATGTCAAATAAGACTATACACTAAAAGTAACGTTTAAAATGATAAGAATTGCATCCTAAAATTCTGTTTTTCAACGTTAGCATACGAAACTGGTAGGAAAACGTCTTTCTGGCCTTGGCGGGTAATGTATGCCAGGCTTAAAGCTATCTTCCTCTGCCATGAAGAGCGCAGGTTCAAATACTGCTGCAGAGTACAAATTCATTCTTGCCATATCTAAGCTATGCACAGTAAATCACTATATAAATATTCCTCCTTTAATATTTATGTATTAATCAAATTTCTAACATTGCCATGTATAAACAGTATTTCTCTCAGTAAAGATCTTTTTCTATAATTCATCGGGTTTGTCTAGAAAGAAATAATATCTACCTTGTCAAAATTCAATCAGATATATATATATATATATATATATATATATATATATATATATATAGAAAAGTAGTAGTAGTAGTGGTAGTAATAGTAGTAGTAGAAGAAGAAGTAGAAAAAAAGAAGAAAAACTAGTAGTAGTAGTAGAAGAAGAAGAAGAAGTAAATGAAAAAAATTAGTAGTAGTGAAAGAAGAGGAAGTATTAGTAGAAGAAGAAGAAGAAGAAAAAGTTGTAGTAGTAGTAGTAGAAGAGAAAGTAGTATTAGTAGAAAAAGAAGAGAAAGTAGTAGTACTAAAGAAGAAGTAGAAAAAAATGTAGCAGGAGTAAAAGAAAATGTAGTAATTGTAGAAGTAGTAGTAGTAGTAGAAGAAGTAGAAGAAGAAAAAAAGTAGTATTAGTAGACAGAAGAAGAAGAAAAAGAGAAAGTAATAGTAGTAGAAGAAGAAATAGAAGAAAAAGTAGTAGTAGTAGTAGAAGAAGAAGTAGAAGAAGAAAAAGTAGTAGTAGAAGAAGAAGTAGAAGAAGAAAAAGTAGTAGTAGTAGAAGAAGAAGTAGAAGAAGAAAAAGTAGTAGTAGTAGAAGAAGAAGTAGAAGAAGAAAAAGTAGTAGTAGTAGTAGAGGAAGAAGTAGAAGAAGAAAAAGTAGTAGTAGTAGTAGAAGAAGAAGTAGAAGACGAAAAAGTAGTAGTAGTAGTAGAAGAAGAAGTAGAAGAAGAAGTAGTAATAGTAGTAGTAGAAGAAGAAGAAAAGTAGTAGTAGTAGAAGAAGAAGAAGAAGTAGTAATAGTAGAAGAAGAAAAATGGTAGAAGTAGTAGTACTAATAGAATAAGAAGTAGTAGTAGAAGAAGTAGATGAAGAAAAAGTAGTAGAAGCAGTAGAAGAAAAAGATAAAGTAGTATTAGTAGTAGTAGTAGTAGTAGAGGTGGAAAAATAGTAAAAGTAGTAGAAGAAAAAGTAGTAAGAGTAGAAGAATTAGTAGTACGAGTAGTAGTAGAAGAAGAAGAAAAAGTAGTAGTAGTAGAAGAGGAAAAAGAAGAAATAGAAAAATAATAATAATAATAATAATAATAATAATAATAATAATTAATAAAAACATTTTTACCAAAGACGATTTTTATACTGATTAATAACTCATGTAGTGTCACGGGACGGAAAGAGTAAACATATTATTTTTATCATTTAAAAATCAGCATTCGGAATCCAGGGATTTTATCTGGGCTTGAAACCCGATGGAATGTTAGTAATTCATCCTTCACCAACCAGGTCTGAGAAATAAATTTGTCGTAATTGAACATCTGTCAGTTTTCTTCTCTTGAGAAATTCTTTTTTTTTCAAGGAAACTAAAACGCCTATTTGTAAAATTACTTGGTAAACACTGACAGGTGCACGGGTTTTGCTGAAAATTCCACGTAATGAAATTATTCGCTTCCATCAAAAGGCTAGATCGCGCGAAGTGTGACTTTCTCAAAGATAGAGTCGTTCTTGAACAGAAATAAACCATTATTGGCAGCCCAAAGACAAAGTACCTCATTTCAGCAAATGAGAGACTCATAAAAGGATGGTTATTTGCGATAATTTTATAGCCCAGTTATGTGAAACAAACAGAAAAAGAATAATTTCTATTTAGAAATAACAATAAACAGAAGAACGGAACGGATCATTATCGAAATAAACAAAATTTATTGACGACACACATACGCCGTGTGCACGCATGCAGACACACAGATACACGTATACATATCGAGGGGGAGGTAAGAAGAGGTTTAGAAATTATATTATATATATATATATATATATATATATATATATATATATAAATAAATATATATATATATATATATATATATATATATATATATATATATATATATGCATGTATGTATGTACACGCATATATCATTATACACACGTACCCATATATATGAGTATTTGTGAGTATAATAGCTTATATAACAGTCACTAAATATGTTTCTGTATGTATGTCTCTCTCTCTGTATCTATATATATATATATATATATATATATATATATATATATATATATATATATATATGTGTGTGTGTGTGTGTATACATGAACACAGGCACACACACACACACACACACACACACACACACACACACACACACACACATTTAATTATTTCGTTCCAAGCAAGGTGGGAATGCCACTAGTGCAGGGGGTTACAACTGTTGAAAGTGAAAGTGAAAAAGAAGACTGCGAATTGGTAGGATTGAAGAAAAGACAAAAGATGAATGGGATTCAAGAAGAGAGAAGATGGCGATTGATGTTGCATGTAAATATTTAAAGATTGTAGGGAAGCAAGTAACGGACATAGAGTAGAAGTGGCGGTTGCATTTAGCTATTTCAACAGTAAAATTGTGGGACCTAGATGCCAATCTAGTAGAGGGAGAGAGAGTGAGGGAGGGAGAAGCAGACAGAGAGACGACAACATGAACTGTCGTCTGAAGACGGGACTTTAAAAAGAACACACGATAAGCAATAGATTTTTAAAAAAGCACACAAGATACACGATAGTTTTTTTTTCTGGATTTTATTAAAGACAACGAACAAAGCACGTATGTTAGTAAAAGTTTCATGGTAGTAAACAGATCATCAGACGCTTAAAATAGAAATGTTCCACTGTTAGAGACATTTTAATTCGAAAAAAAAATGGTCTGAAGCAGGCGCCACAGATACAAACAAGCTCACAAATGTGTATATAATTTTTATTTATTCAATTTTTTAAAAATTTTAATTTACTTTATTTATTTATTACTATTTCACCCTCTCTCTTTTAGTCCGGTGCTCAGTGACTTTGTAATTTTCAATATGGTTATATTTGTGAACAAGATGTGATTTTTGTTGAAAAAGTGTTCTTGCTCTGTAAAAGATATAATGCAAAATGTTTCCTGCAAGTAAAACAGACAAGATAAAATTTATATATATATATATATATATATATATATATATGTGTGTGTGTATGTGTGTGTGTGTGTGTGCGTTCGCGTGTGTGTTTGTGTGTAATTGGATGATGTAATTGTAAAAACTATGTAATGTATTTCTTCCTTTAAAAAGATTTAATCAGTAAGAATTAATGTTTTAATGATTGAATTATATCTATCTCTCCATCCCTTCCTCTCTCTCTCTCTCTCTCTCTCTCTCTCTATATATATATATATATATATATATATATATATATATATATATATATATTAAGGATAAATCAAAAACATCTTAAAAATCCATATCGACTATAATTTATTTTTATATTGATCCTTCAGACCTAAAGTTTTTAAGAAATGGAATCAATTCATCCAAATGGATATACCGAGGTAAAAAAGGAGACAAGGGGAAAGAGAGAGAGAGAGAGAGAGAGAGAGAGAGAGGAGAGTAATTCTTGTGTAACAATGGAACCATATTTTTAAATTAGCAAATTTATATATATATATATATATATATATATATATATATATATATAATTTTGCAAAGCTTTTTGAACTCATCGTAATATATGAAAAATGAAGTGTCAAAGAAAAATATTTATTAATGTGCAAGGTTATCTGCTTAATAAGTTTTATTTCCCAATTTCTTTCTTATTTCTTTTCTCAGTTCGCTTACATTTCGCTGTTCTACTTTTTTTTTTAAAGTAAAGAATTTCTTTAAATTACGTGCATTTGTACATTGTGGTACATGAATTTGATGACCTCTTTAATAACTTTGAATACTCAGCCCCTGTTTCTTCATAATCCTTCACATTTTTAGCATTAGAGGAAGAAGTCTTTTGTAATTCATTAACGTCTTCATTTATCCATTCTTTTCGGTAATAGTGTTTCGTTCAGATTCTGCAATCCTTGTTTGTTAATTTGCATATTCAAAGAATTAGAAGCTTCCTCAAGCTTTTCAATAATCTCTAATTTCTGACGTAACCTGAAAGAATTTCTTTTTTGTTTTCTTCTAGTTGAAATTCTTCTGCGCAAGGCATCATGAGTTGAGAAAATTCAAGTTACTAACAATTATCTGCAAAGAAAAGAAAAATATTAGAATGTTGCATATTCCCACAACATCTAAATAGCAACACTGCGAAGTTCGAGGACTTTTACTGTGTATTCCTTGTGTAACGTCAAAATTGTCCAAATAGTATAAATAGTTGGAATAACTGTCCAACCCACAAAAAGCTTAATATCTAAAAAGCCACTAAACTAATTGAGCTTATTTTCTACGTTTTCAGATAAGACGTTTAGTCATCTTGACACCATTTTTCGTAAAAATAACGGTAAAAAAGAAAGACCCTTTGAGTTATTCAGCAAGGGAACAGGTTAAAATAGTTCTGTGTCAACTCCACTATATCTTCCCATTTGAGCAATGGTGAGAGGAAAAAGTTCCTTCAGGTTTTCAGTAATGATACCAACATTTATACTCTGGCTTTTATCTACAAAGTACATTCAAAAACCATCAAGAGAATGCTGAATATTAAAAAAAAAAAGGAGAAACAGTAGATAGGAAAACTGGATCAGGAGGTTGCAACAGCAAGAGGGATCATCATTTAAACTTAGATCTGAATACATTCTTATTGTTCAAACTAGTGTCCAATAGTGTTATAAAAACCTCGGAGAATTCCGGTAAGATATATTTAATCATTTCTAAGATACAACGGTTGAAATCTTAATCTCAAAATTGGACAATTTTGCTGTTACATTCGGTACACACACACACACGTGCGCGCGCGCACACGCACACACACACACACACACACACACACACACACATATATATATATATATATATATATATATATATGAATAATTGTGTTGACCTTCTTGCTTTTATTTCTTCAACAATAAAATCACTAACACAGAGTGAAATTAATTTCACTGTAAAAACAAAGATGTCAATTGAAGTAGGCGTACACAATAAAAAATTCTAGTAATAAGCAATAATCCCATATTTTTTACAATTACAATCTATCCCGCTATTGTGTATGAATATAATTCATCACCTTAATATAGCATAAACTTAAAGCTTCACTGTTCTTGCTTTTTTGATTGATTGACTGATTCAATTTCTACAGCTTATCAACCCTTTTTCTGGTTATTTGAAGCCAGAAAATATTTTTAGCTTGTAATAATTTCGGTGGGAGGGAGATAATAACCATTATTATTTATCTCCCACCACAAATACAAGTTTATATATAATTAACCCATAGCTGGTGGGAAGAAGTGGTGGATTCATGCCTTTCCCAATGATATTTGCGCGTAAGTGAATATAACGAACCCAACGGGAATTGGAACTCTGCTCTCCTATTAACAATTCTGAGTCATTATCCATTACTGAACCTGCACAGCCACGCTTAAAGCGTCTGGTATTCCCAAGCGGTCACTCATCTTGCTACTGACTAGGCTATACGTTGCTTACCTTCGGTGATCATACGGGGAACGGTGTTTCAACGTGATGTATTCGTAAGCTCTCTCTCCTTATGCAGTATATGCTGTTCCTTGAAATCTTTATTAAATTAGTATTTTTTTAAATACTCAAAGTATTTAGTATTGCTGAAATAATCGCTAACATTTTTATCGAAGTTAACTCCAAAATTCGTTCAATTTCGAAAACCAATTACTCATTACACCATAATAATATAATGGGATGATAATAGTTTAATGTTACAAGTCTTAATAATTAACCAACAGCTGGGGAAGAAGAGGTGGATTCATATATTTTTAAGTGTAATTGTATATAACTACCCAAATGTATTTGAAACTAGGCTCTTCGGTTAACAATTCCGGATCATTACACCACCCACGCATACAAACTTACAGCACCTGGTATTTCCTTTCGGTCACCCATTTAGGTACTGACCAGGATTGACGTTGCTTAACTTTGGTAATCGTACGGGAATCGCCGTTTCAACGTCATGTGCTCCTCCTAAAACATTTTGAGTGAGATTTTGTAGACGAAATTCTCGATTCTTGTGCTAGTCCTAAGTAAAAGGTCTCAAAATATTAAACAGGTAGAATTTCTTAAACCTTGTTTTTCACTCTTTCTGGATAAAAAATGAGGTAAAGTCGAGAAATTAGAATTGGATGTTTTAAAAGAATTAACAAAAACGAACAACGGTCACACACACACACACACACACATATATATATATATATATATATATACACATATACATATATATATATACATATATATATACATATATATATATATATATATATATATATATATATATATATATATATATATATATATATATATTGAACAATAAAAATATTAAAAATTAAAATCCTCAGACACACTGGGTTGTAGATTAATATTCTTTCATTTTTTATTATTATTATTTCATTTTATATATATATATATATATATATATATATATATATATATATATATATATATATATACACATATATATATATACATATATACACACACACACACACATATATATATACATATATATATACACACACACACACACACACACACACACACACACACACACACACACATATATATATGTATATGTGTGTGTGTGTGTGTGTGTTTGTATTTCTTTCTCTATTTACAGGAGAAAAGTAGAAGAAAAGAAAAGAAAAGAAAGAAAAGCAAAAAATGCATATGACTATAATCCAGGAAAGCCGAAAACAAATGCAGTTTTTTCAAGAATCGTCCATGATACATTGGAGTCCTCTTTGACCTATCCTTGCAATTGAGTAACTAGTTAGATTCAGTGAAGCATTGGTAAAAAAAAAAAAAAAAAAAAAAAGACTCTTTCTTGTTGGAATAAAAGAAGCAGATCCGTTCCTAATGGAAGCAGAAAACAATCAGGATTTTGGTATCACAGGTTCTCTCATATACGGATTTCTTTTTTATTTGTACAGTGTAACACGGATATAAGAGAGCCGGATATAGTAGACCCGGATATAAGAGAAACCCGGATATAAGAAAGATTTTCTCTGGTCCCAAATTAGAACCTGTGTTAATGTATATAAAATAGACGAAACCCGGATATAAGAGAAACCCGGATATAAGAGACCCGGGTATAAGAGAAACCCGGATATAAGAGAGATTTTCTCTGGTCCCAAATTAGAGCCTGTGTTAATGTATATAAAATAGACCAAACCCGGATATAAGAGAAACCCGGATATAAGAGACTTCTTCTCCGGTCCCAACAACTCTCTTATATCCGGGTTACACTGTATTCACATTTCAGTATAAAAATGACATAGAAACTGATGGAAAATAATTTGACAAGTGTATAATCACGCTCTGAAATATGTGAAATAGAGATTTTATAGAATGAAAAGGGTATAGACTTTTGCATCTAATTTCACTAGAATGTATATTTTAGCAGAAAGACTCAGTTGGGACAATAACAGGCACAATAACGACTGAATAATGACGCTACGGATTCATATGAATGAAAATATCTCAAAATAAAAGTTATTAACATGTTTATATCCAATAAAATGATGGAATATCATTTTTTTTTTTGCAAATAAAGTTCCGGAAAATCAGAGTAAGTTGCAGAAAATACAGTAGTGACACCATGCTAAATATAAATTTTTATGAATAAAAGCTTTAATTAAAAAAGGCGGGAGCATTTTATTCAATCTATCTATCTATCTATCTATCTATCTATCTATCTATCTGTTATGATGTTGATTTGGGGTTAGTAGAGACAAACGCCAAATAACACGTAACAATAAAAAAGGGTTTTAATAGGTTGGTAAAAAGGTACAGAAACCGCCCGAGTAGTCAATAACTAGCTCAGCTAAGAACTTCTCTGTCTATCTGTCTTCTCCATGTCAACTGACATGCCACTATTTAAAGTCTTTGTTCACAGACAAGTTCATCTTCAAGAGGGGTGGTAGGTTTCCGACACAACACTATCTATCTATCTATCTATCTATCTATATTTTAGTATGTATTCTATCTCCCTCTGTGTCTATCTCTATCTATATTTTAGCATGTATATCTATCTATCTATCTATCTTTTAGCATGTCTATTTATATTTTAGCATGTAATTTTTCTATCTATCTATATTTAGCATGTAATCTATCTATCTATAGTTTAGCTAATCTATCTATCTATCTTTTAGCATGTAACCTATTTATATTTTAGCATGTAATTTTTCTATCTATCTATATTTCAGCATGTAATCTATCTATCTATATTTTAGCATGTAAGCTATCTATCTATCTTTTAGCATGTAACCTATTTATATTTTAGCATGTAATTTTTCTATCTATCTATATTTCAGCATGTAATCTATCTATCTATATTTTAGCATGTAAGCTATCTATCTATCTTTTAGCATGTAACCTATTTATATTTTAGCATGTATTTTTTATCTATCTATATTTCAGCATGTAATCTATCTATCTATATTTTAGCATGTAATCTATCTATCTATCTATCTATATTTTAGCATGTAATCTATCTATCTATCTATCTATATTTTAGCATGTAATCTATCTATCTATCTATCTATATTTTATCTATCTATCTATCTATTATATTTTTCTATCTATCTATCTATCTATATTTTAGCATGTAATCTATCTATCTATCTATCTATCTATCTATCTATCTATCTATCTATCTATCTATTTATTACTGTGCAAAAGAATAGGGTAAAACAGAGTAATTTTTTACTTAGTCACAATACTATTGAAACTTGTACAAAAAACATTAAATCATGAGTGATGTAAGTTAATAATTTAAGTCGTTAAGAAATAAAGAAAAGATGGGCAGTTGTTATTCTAAAATTTTACTTTGGCATATGGGAATAATGAGCATCCAGTGAGGAACGAATCCAATACTCATTAGAAATAGGTGTCACCGAAAATAATTTCGTTAACTATTACACCGTTAAACCCTTGCTTTCAAAATAAAACACTCTCTTTGTTTACAAAGAAAGAAAAGAGTGATGGATTGCTATGTGATATCCATCATCTTATATGGCAGTGAATGTTGAACAATCTCTTTGCGGTTAAGGAGAAAACTGGAGATAGCAGAAATGTGATTCTATAGAATGATACTGACGATTCTGAGGAAGGAGCGAGTAAGCAACAATAATGTCCTCAAGTATCATTAGAGAGAAGAGAAATATCCAGAGTCATGCTATTGCTTTGATACATAATGAGGAAAGACAGCTTGAAAAGCAATGGATTGCAGAACGGGGAGCCTTATAAAAGGGAGAAAAAAATTCTCCGTATCACAAAGAATAGGATCTTGTGGAGAGTCCTTTCCTGAAAGGAGACTGCACATATAAGAAGAAGAAGAACGTGTAGGATCATTGATCCGGAGGAAATCCCTCCTTTTTAGTTGGTCCGGTGAGTAGTTCTTTTCAGGTTTCAGAAAATTAGACACTCAAACTTTGCTTTTTACACAACTTTTCAAGAGGGATATTTTTATTATCTTATTCATATATCATTAAATAACTATTTAAGAAAACATAAGTCTGTCCTTTATTTGGAGTTCGTTCTGTTTTAAAAGATATAGGACAGCAGAGACAGCATCTTTGTAGATATACGACTTTATTTGAAATATTAATAATTCCGTTTAAACTTATAGTCAGGTGTGTTTTCAGTAATAATTATATAACAGTCGTTCGGATTTTATAATAGGGTGAGAATTTCAATGTTCAGTAAGGACACATTGGAATCATGTGGTTAACAATGAAAGCAATTGAGAATGTCTCTAAGTTAAAACATATATCTATCTATCTATTTATCTATCTATCGATATATATATATATATATATATTGACACACACACACACACACACACACACACACACACATATATATATATATATATATATATATATATATATATATATATTATTCGCTCTGACTTAACATTGAGCTCGAAGGATTTCATCCTCCTTGAGATTATCCATACGGATTACCAATATTTTCGTTACTTATATATATATATATATATATATATATATATATATATATATATATATATATACACACACATATATATATATATATATATATATATATATATATATATATATATATATATATATATATATATATATATGTCATTTAATCACCAATCAATGCTTTTTCACCTTCGAGAAGACTTTTTATAATTTTTTTTTCTGATGAGGTCTCCTTCTAGTGGCGTTTTGGATTGTCTGTTTTTCGAATTTCTTGAAGGTGGGGGCTTTCAAAAATATTTTACCAAAAATTCTTTTTTCAGAGACACAGATGATTCTATATTAATATACCCACAAAAGATAATTTTACCCGATATTGTCAATAAACTTAATAGCCTCAAACCCACAATAGACCGTATCTTTGAATGTGAATCTGACAACCTTTCCTCGATTTCATACTTTATAGAAATAATAACGAAATTCAGTTTGAGGTTTACAGAAAAGCAACCAAATTGTAGACAATATCACCTTATAAGTATTGACGAACTTCTTTCTAAAACAGGGGGCCTATAATTAAACTATGGCTACATTATCGTTATTTCGCAAAATTAAATCAATGTCAGTGTGACACAGAGCTACAATAGTTGGTTAGTTAGCGCGAAATGAACCTACAACGTCAGGGAAATTAATTTTCTATCCGTTACTCTACAGCATGTAACATTAGAGGCTTTTTCTATAATACTAGTTTTTTGCAACATACTGAGGCGTGTCTAAATCCCTACAGTATTTAATATTGTTAAACCTATGGCTAACATTTTTGTCGAGATTTACAAACTCTACGTTTAGTTCAATTTTGTAAATCGATCGATGAAATTTTAATGGCTGATTTGTTTGGAAAAATACTTTGACCAAAATCTACTTCGCGGCTTAATAATTTCTTTAATTTAGTTTTATTTTATAGAAGTTAATGTTAAAAATATTTTTTAAGAAAATGTATTTAGTTTTTCCTTTTTAATAACAGCGAAGAATAAGTTCTTATGTTTTCTTACTCTTTAGCATGCAACAGGCAATTCCTAAATATTTCTTTCTGGAGCTATATTCCAACTTCTTGAAGCGTTTGGACTTCTGATTTGTTTATAGTTCTCGCAAATGCAGGGTGAAGTGGAAATTCTTGTATATAAAAGTTTAAAGAAAAGATATGCCAAAAACAATATTGCATTTCTATTAAATCAGTATTTGTTAGGTTAGTCATTAAATAGTTTTTTAAACAGTGGGAGTATTTTGTATGTTCCATAATAAAAATTTCAATATTTTCCCCAAAATAATGAAACTGTATTGTACTATAATACGCATCCTAATAAAACTATGTGTTCTTCGTGCACTCTGAACTGTTTGCACTTCCCATAACTTGGTTTCGATCGGTCAATGTATGGCTATTTTTGAGAATGTGACGGACGGACTAATAGAAATCACAGAATTTTATGTATATATAGATGGAAAGTGTTTTTGATTTCTATCTTGTTTGGAAACAAGGTTACATCGTATTAAAATATAAATGGCCAACTAATATTTTTCATGTATTTGATATAGAAAAGATATATTTCACATTTTCGCCAAGCAAACGGAACTAGTAACAGGAACAATAATATGTTTAATAGTAATATTGTACATTTCAGTCTTTTAAAAAATCAATCGATAAAATGATTTTATTGAGTTTTAATTCTACACTGGACATTAAAGATGGCTTTGCATTACTATCAATGACAAGCTTTGTTATTGCGCAGACAGACACTGAAGTGGTCAGATTGTCGTCTGATAGTTGCTTTTGCGAACGGAAGTAAATTATAGTTTTGTGAATTTTTGTTCCTAATACAACGGAAAAACAGAGAATAACTGGATAATGAAATAATGGAAGATTTAATCACCACCATTAATAAATGCTGTTATGTCCGGCTCTCGAAATCACCGAAACATACAATCTATCTTCTCTACTGAAATGATCTCACAATAAACCTCGAGCAGAATTTCTCATTTCCAAACTAATTGGTATTATCACCCAAGCAACAACACCACCGCTTGGGTTATCAAAAGATCTATTTGTTTCACCCTGATTATTACAAAACTTTTATTTCTTTCTTCTCTCTTTATCAATCATTCGCAGGCGAATCGAACTTGGCTAGCCAGACAATAGCCATGAAATCCTTTCTTCGCACTGTCTTTAATAGAACGAAGGACTCTATTCTGTTTTCTTTCATTTAGAAAATTTGTTTTTGTCTACACAATTCATTGTGTTTGCACGGAATGATCTTTTTACGAGACGACACGCGCAATCTGTCGATTATCTGTTAACTTTGAAAACGAGGTTTTCCCGTCTCAACTGATTCCGGTACGCGACATCTATCTATCTATCTATCTATCTATCTATCTATCTATCTATCTATCTATCTATCTATCTATCTATCTATCTATCTATGTCCTTTGAAAAACAAGCGCTCGCTTCTCAATTGATCCGGAACACGATTTCTTTCTTTCTTTCTTTCTTTCTTTCTTTCTTTCTTTCTTTCTTTCTTTCTTTCTTTCTTTCTATCAGATATATAGATAGATATAGATATATAGATAATGATATATATCATTAGATATATAGATAGATATATATATATATATATATATATATATATATATATATATATATATATATATATATATATATATATATATATATATATATATATATATATGTATATATATGTGTGTGCGTGTGTGAACGGATTGATCAGTGGGAAGAATATTTATTTTTTTACTTATGTTAAAAGACACGATCACACGTGACCTTAGAGACACATAAAAAGATTAATATTATGTTACGTATAAGTTCTCTTTAGGGATAAATTATTTTTATTTAAAATCAGCATTTCATATAAACGTGAACATGACTCTGTGTTCTAAACCAATATTACTAATCAACAAAGCACAATTCTGATATATGGATAAATACTTTACAAACAGCTCACTCCTACATACAAACATACAAGTAAGGGGATAATACCACTAGGACGTAGGGTGTTACTGGCACTGAAAGACGATAAGTCTTTAGTGAGAAGTAGTGATGAAAGGACAAAGGAACACGGTTCAGAAAGACAATTGAAAGATAGTAGCGATTGATGTTTTAAGTTTTTGTAGATTGTAGTTGGCAAGGAATCGAGATATATGTATCGAATTCCACAGGCAAAAAGTGAGAGAAAAGACTCTCTGAGAATAGAAGTGGCGGGTGCATCTAGCCAGTTCAACAGTAAAACTGTGATATCTAATAGTTAATCTAGTATCTTCCTTAAATCAATGTAGTCGAGACACTAGGAAAAATCTCATCAGAGCATGAAAAGACAGAGTAAGGCGACGTCAGGTCGGTGAGAAAGGGATTGATGTTGGTATGCCATGTCAGGACCGATTACATTAAAGACCCTTCTCTGAATTTTGTCAAGAATCTGGAGATATACAGCCGGAACATTCAACCAGATATGACAAGGGTATTCAATGCACGGACGAATGACAGATTTATAAATGTGCAAGATGGATTCTGACGAGAAAAAAAAAATCTTCTCACGATACAGTTAAATAACTTTCCTAGCAATAGACGTAGCAGTTGATTAAATAAAATTACTCTCCTGGAGTTTAACATCAGCCCTGCTGATGGCAAGCAGTAATGGTTCTCCTTGGTGAATACATGAAGTACTCATATCTCGTTCCAGATATCCACTGATTGTAGGTCCTTTTCGAGTCTGGCATATATTATAGGATATGTCGGACTTAATTAAGAAATAAGTAAATAGTTAATACCTAGTTGGGATCTGATGATATATATATATATATATATATATATATATATATATATATATATATATATATATATATATGAAGAAAATATAGATTTAAGGTGTGATATATTTATGGGATAAAGTGCTCAATATCATAGATGGAGCGTATGCAAATATAGATATAAAAGTGAACATAGAAGGCGATATTCAGAGGCGACAGGCTGTTTCATACTAGATGCAATCGTCAGGCGGCCTGACGACTGCTTCTAGCATAAAACAGGCCTGTCAGCTCTGAGTGTTGATTTATATATATATATATATATATATATATATATATATATATATATATATATATATATATATATGTACACACACACACACACACACACACACACACACATATATATATATATATATTTGTGCGTATGTGTGTATGTATGTTTACCGGGTTTAACAGAAAATTTGTCAAAATCGTGTAAAACCATAATAATCCATCTCACAACATCTTTAATATCTAAAAAAAAGACACTACACTAATTGAGCTTCTTTTTTCCAGGTTTTCAGACAAGACGATTAGTCATCTTGACACCATATGTTATAGGAATCGCTGAAAAATTATTTAGTTAAAAAGAGAGCAATCTTCCCAACCGAGCAATGGTCAGAGGAAAAAGATCATTCAGGCCTTCAGTAATGGTACCAACACTTATACTCTGGTTTCCATCTTTAAATTATATTCAAGAACTAAGAAGAGATCGGCGAAAAAGTTTAAAAAAGAAGGGACAGTAGAGAGGAAAACTGGAACAGGAGGTAACAAGAGTAACATTGATCATTATTTCAACTTTTGAGCTATAGAGATCAATTAGAAACGATCCAACTTAATTCCCTGACAGAGAAGTTTCATCTATGACAGTCCAATGAGCAGTGAAAAAAGACTTGAAAACGAAAATCCTACGTGAAACGTGTGAGTCAACTCGTTACTCCAGGACAGAAGGTTAAAGGTATAAAGAGGGCGAAGATCATATTGTATAAGTTAGAAAATTATCCTGGAATGATATATATATATATATATATATATATATATATATATATATATATATATAATATTATAGTTCATATATATATATATATATATATATATATATATATATATATATTTGAACTTAATTTCAATACTTCCAGAGCTTCCGATTCTTAGCTAGGTTTAATCAATGATGAACATTTGATTTTCGTTTATGATCGATTTCATCACGATGTTTCTGTTAAGCTTGGAGTGTAATTATATTATATTCTTATAGTTAAAAGTAGAGACCAATATTATTATAAAAACCTTGGAGAATTCCGGTAAAATATCTTTATTCGTTTCTATGTTATAACACTCCAAATCTTAATCTAACAAATCAACAATTTTCCTTTTACCCGATTTGGAACATTTTGTTGTTGCACCCGGTATATATACAGGGTACGAAGAGTAATTTGTCACCATTTACATTTTTAATTACGCGCATGCGCGTTTTTGACTTTGTTGATTAGGCTTGGGTGGGCACCGTCTTTGAAAAAAAACAGCACCATGACGCAATTCTCTCCGCCAGGAATTTGGAAACGGCCTGCTGTACTGCTCGCTGGAAATTCCAATATGAACATTTCAGTGTTTCGATGCCATTTTGAGGACAGTGAAGAGTATTCGGTAAGTGTTGGATAATATATCACTAGTAGTGTCGAGGTCATGTTTCCAATCATGTTCCCTCAGGACCTCAGACGCAACACAAGCCTACATTAAGTACCTTGAAGAGATAGTGCTGTCCTAAGTCAAGAGGTCGGCTGCTGAAAGACCCTATGTCTGGCAACACGGTTCTACACCATATAACAGCAGGAGAAACCCAGTCATGGCTCTCGGAGAATTTCTGCGAACGGATGACCCCTTACATCTACCAACCTAATTCCCCAGACTGCAAACCCCTAGATTATTATGTGTTGGACGCAGCTGAGCGAGCGACCAACAAACAGTCATAAATGAAATGAAATAATATCGTCTGCTGAATTATTTTAAAATCATTACTAAAATAAATTTTCATAAGACGGGGATTTGGTTAGAAAGAAGGAAATGTGGTAAATTAAAATTATTTAACATCTGTCAATACCTCATGAATAATGGACTATTCATTTTTGATCGCGTGGAAAGTTGGAAACGACATTAGTTTATTTCAGTGAGGAAATGAAAGAAAGCAAGAAATAAAGAAAGGAAGATAGATGTGTTTAACAACTGTTTTAGTGAAAAGTAAAAAGTTGACAACTTCAAATTTTTTCATTTCTACCCACCTCTTAAAATAATGACCAACTTTCATTTATATGATTGTTACTGCAATATTTTGTTAAGCTCAAATATTTAATGATACGATAGGGGAATTCCTAGAGAGATTTTATAGTCGTAGATCTCGCCATAAACTTATTCCATCATTAACTTAAGAGTTGATAATTACGATTTATCAGGAAAGTAAATAGAAATATAGTGAAATTTCCACAGGTATTTCTTCTCCTTCTTCTTCTTCTTCTTATTATTATTATTATTATTATTATTATTCTAATAATAATAATGAGTTAAATGAATTTCTTCATTTAGCTGTAAATTATCAGCTCCTCTGGTGATTTGATAGTGAACACTAATTTTATTTATACTGTTTACATCATTTGGACTGTTGTCCTCATCTTTATTGCTATATATTCACGACGTTTCGGCCATTGCACGCTCCGGTCTTCTTGAGGTGATATACGCTCAAATTTCGAACCGAAACCTTTATTTAATCAACGGGCGTAGATTGTTCCTATTTCACTGGGCTACGTGTCCTTGAAGACACGTGACCCAGTGTATAAAAGAGTCGGTTGATGCAATCCAAAAAGTGACTTGATCCAAAGTGTTGTGAGTTCGATACGTCTCCACAGCGGAGTTGATCTACTAAAGTGAATTAACCGAAACTAAGAACCCCAAAAAGAGCCTGACACTTAGAATTGCCATTGTATGCGATACGAAGTATTGGATTGATTGAATTGCCATGGTATGCGATACGAAGTATTGGATTGATTGAATTGCCATGGTATGTGATACGAAGTATTGGATTGATTGAATTGCCATGGTATGCGATACGAAGTATTGGATTGATTGCATAACAATCAATAAAAATTAGAGTTTTACAAAGTAAATCTTATCCAAGGGAAGAGAGAACGAACACTTTCCAATTATATATAATATTAGAATAAAATTCAGGAAAGTAGAGTAAATTAACTCATAAACTACAATATAACAAACTACAGAATTACAAACTTTGCCAAAGAGTGTGTAATGCTGACAGTGTTAAAAGCAAATATAATAACTTGAACGATACAGGAAATTCTAAGTGGAACAGATTGAGAAAAACCCTCTTGACATCGGCGAACGAAATCGTACAAGAACAAAAAAGTGAATGAAAAATAGAATTGTCGTAATGATTACAAGGAGGCGACAAACAATGGCACGAGACAATGCAGATTACAGAATAGTAAACACAAAAATAGACGCAAATGCATGCAGATTAAAGAAGAATGACTTAATGTAAAGTGTGACGAATTAGAAAGATTCAACATCAGGGAAAATGTAAATATGTACCTAGGAATAAAAGATTTAACAGCACAAAAGATG